GGACCAATGGCCCCGTGCAGGCAATCTGAGGGCAGCCGGAAACATTCCCACACCTTCCCACAACTTCACTGCACCAAGGCTCACAAACACTGCTAAACATTCCCCAGTCTCTCTGTCACTCAGACCACAAACCATTTTTCATCTAGTCCTTACTTTCTCTTTGCAGCCTCTTAATCAACTTGACAGAAACGAAAGCACATTCCAAAGGCATCCAGCAGAGATGCTAAAATGAAAAGGAGACAGTACAGAGGCATGCTTTTGCACTAACCTTTCGTGTCTAAAGACGTAGATTCAAATATAAATCAAACACTAAAGCTTGGTAGTCACATCCAAAACCCCAGGTGGATATGCATCCTAGTCATAAAACTCTTACAGTGTGACAAGCTGAAAAACAGAGCAGATGGAAACAATGGGCAAATTTGCTGGAGGCCATAATCATTAAAAGGCCAGGTCCTGGACGATGGAAGTGTAAGAATGGTCTGGATATCTGGCCTTTGATTACGTTCACAAACCGATTCAAACAGAAAGATACTGTATTAGTAAAAATGAATTAGGGAAATCTAGAGATGGGTAAGAGAGGATAACGAGAAAGATGGGGGAAAAGAGCATATATGAATATATTCACTTCTTCCTAGTCCCTACTAAATCTAAGGAATCCAGTTATATAAAATAAGAGCGAAATTGAAGACTAGTCAGTTTTGTTTCCTTGTCTCACACTAGTTTTCCTCAAAGGAAAACTACTCATGTTCACAAAATGATGGAAAATCATTAGAGAGGTTAATTCTACTAAAATTTCTGTGAAAGGATTTCATTTTCTTTAAATGTTAAACTTAGAAAAAAGGCTTTAAAACTGCAGTTATTCGTATTGCAGTTACATTATATCTCAAATTTCATAGCTAAGCCGTAAGTCAGAATAAGAATATTTAGTCCAGCTTGAGTTTGAGGTTCCTTGCTTAACAATTATCTAACACCATCTTTTCACAGGCCATTTAAATAATAGTTCATCTTCATTTCACAGTCCTCTTGTCCCATTATCCCCAGGCAGCCAAGATTGAAGCATTTCCATAACTGAATAAACTTTCTAACATTGCAGTTTGAAAACTGTCGCTATGCCATTTATTTTGACTCATGGGTACAATGCAGGTAGCTCTGCTCTCCTATTATTGAGATTTATGTACACCTTTTTACTCTTAAGCCAACTGGCCTCTCAACAATTAGAAATAATCACAGTAAATTCACGGGCTGGAAAATCAAAGTGCAACAACAGGAAATAAAACACTCAGTTCTAACCACTTCTAGCTCATCTATTTGAACACGCATTGCTTTTCTTAAAATGGGGGTGTGAAAAATATAAGCATTACATCTAAAATTTCTTATAAAAATAGAAACATGAGCATACAAATTCTTTCCCAGTTTGTAGAAGTGCATTGTACCAAAAACAATTTCAAAATGTTTTGAGGAAGGGAATGAAAATGTAACTGAACGAATTTTTTAATGTGGAACCAGAAAAATGAGAGGTGCTGGGGGAGGGAAGGACAGTGACAGGGAAGCAGGGAGAAAGAGAGCTATTGTGACACAAATTTAAAAACAAAACACATACTGATACTGAAGTATAATTTTAAATTCAAAACATAGCAAATATCAAAGTATACTCTTCCTCTGCTAAGTTTAGAAGACCATAACAGATATCAAAGTATACCTTCTCTGGTACAAGGCAAGGAAAACATACTCAGGAATCCAGTCTGAAAACATTAAGAAGCAAGCACTAATCAAAAAACAAACACAACGGGCCGGCGGAGAGGCTCAGTTGGTTAACAGCGCAAGCTCTGAGCAACAACAGTGTGGCCGGTTCGATTCCTACATGGGCCAGGGAGCTGCACCCGAGGTAAGCTGCCGCTGAGCTGCCAACAGGTGGCAGGATGGCTCAGCTGGTTAGAGCACTTGCTCCTAACAAGGCAGCTGGTTCGACCGCCTCATAGGATGGTGGGCTATGCCCACCCGCAACTAAGATTGAATGCAACACCTTGAGCTGAGCGGCCACGAGCTGCCGACGGGTGGTCAGATGACGACTGGACTTGGCTGAGCTAGCTGCACCCTCCACAACTAAGAATGAAGGACAACAACTTGGCTGTTCCCCTTCCCCAGTTCCCCAACAAGAACAAAAAAAACACACAAAATCTAAGAGCACAGCCACACATTCACATCACCTAACTGAAACTTCAGGCACATATGTTGCAGAAAAAAAGAAATAACATGAACACAATGCATTCATAATTGCAAACTGATGACTCCATGTTTGTTTTTCTACTAAGGTGATAACTATAAAATCTAGGTAGATAAATAATCCCAATTTTCTTCTATTTCAGTCCTTTTAGATTCACAGAATATGAACTGCTGCCTATGTACAGAACCTCAGAAATCATTCATTCTAAACTTCTGACTTTATAGGCTCAGAAATGATTTTCCCAGAGCTGGTAGGATGGCAGATCTCTGACTCACTACACCGTATTTCCCACTGTAAAGTGCTTCCAAGTGCCAAACCTTCCAATGTCATCAAACCTAAGACATTTTAAAACACATTCTTCTTCAATAGCAAGCAGGGATGTAACAGGTTCTGAAACCTCAAAGCACATGACCAGCTGCTCTATGGAGAAGAATGAAACATATTAGCCCCAAGTGCCAAGAAATAAAAAGAGCTTCCTTCAAAGAGGGAACAGTTCCTTCAAGGATGCTACAAACTTGATGCATTTTTACCCTTAAGAAAAGTAATTACTGGTTTTAATTGTTTCTATTTTGTTTCTGGGGAACATGAGTTAACACTAATGCAAACTGTCACAGCATAGCAAGCTCTGAAGTCTCAAAAAATACAATTAGTTCTATTAGGAGCAAAGAACTTTGAAAAGAGCTCATCTCCAATTAGCATCATAAAGACTGGAAGATGCCTATTCTCATTAATTTTTATTCCTATTTTAAAGATTTAGAAACCAATGCATAAAGGCTTACTTGAAAACTGTTAACTACTCTGGGTAATACAGACAGTATGTAAAATTTTAATAACTACCTCTTGAAAAAGGAAGGCCTAGTTTGCCATACGCTCCCATATAAAGAATTTAGACTGTCAATGATGATTGTTACCAATTAACAAAAATGCTTCGGAGGCTTCCTCCCAACACCTCATTTAGCTCTGCATATGCTTAAGTCATCGGTTCTAGAATTGCAAATGTGCACTGATAACCCATACAACTCTTTCAGGGGTTATTCTTTCTATATTAAAAGTTGATCATAATTAAGTCACATTTTTTTTTCCTACCATAAAAACCAAAAGACAAAAATGAGAAATGTATACTATAACACTGTGCTACATTAAAAAGCCACAAGTCCAATTCAAACAAATTCCAATGCTGCATATCCTGTTTGAAGAATGTCCTAGTCAATTGTGATATAAGTTATTTTTGAATCTCCCATCAAAATAATTGGAAAAAAATTAAGAGCACATGAACAAAAGCTTAAATAATTCATTTAATGAGAACCAAAGTGGATGAATTATACAACTATACAGCTTTATATTTCTTGACTCTATCCATTCCTCCTCAAATTCAGTAGTCTATCCCTAATATGAATCATAATGCTGTTCTCAATACGGCATTTTAAGAACACTTGCTTCAACACATGCTACATTCCTCCTGCATTTGAGATTTAACTTTTTTTGACCTACAGGCTACAAATGAGCTCAATCTGATGAAATTTCTATGAACTATTATTCAAGGTTTATAAAAGTCACCGAGTAGTTTAAATGCAAGTTCATCACTAAGATAAATTCTTAAAGAGAAGGCAGACACATGAAACGCCTGAGAACTTTCGTATAGCACATGACAGAATGTAAACAAAATCTCAGAATGAGTGGTTGAATTGAAAATTCAATTTGATTTATTTGATTATGGAGGAGGAAGCTGGCAATAGTGATTTGGTTAAAACACTTGTTAGGAAGACATGACATCATTTTTCCGTAAAAGAGCTATACAAAAAGGCACAGAATGGATTCGGGAGGAACAATTTTATGTTGAAGCACAAAACCTAGCCAACACAAATACTTGTCTTTTATGATTAAGGTTTCTTCCACACATAGGATGAGGCAACAAGCTGGAAAATGCCTGGCATCAAACCTTCTCCAGACATTAGAGTCATACATACTAACGAGGTTGCAAAGGGAAATTACATGTAAGAATTAAAAGAAAGTCCGTTAAAAAAAGAATTGTAAACAGATCTTTGGAAAGTATCTAGCACAGTGCTGTATGAACAGATATTGACAAAATAAGTTATATTGTTCTGATTTAAGCACCGAATTGACCTTAGCTTTTGTATTTCTAAATGAAAACACTTCATTAAACAATTTTGAATGAAAAAAAGTAATAACTCAGGTCTGCTAATAAAAAAGGCTGTTAAGTGGAATGAGAGCAATTTAAACTAGCTAATAGTATATGGAATCTTCACTTCCAAACAATGCTAAGAATCTCTAGCATGTAACACTTGCATCTTTAAGGCTAAGTCAGCAAAAAGGTAGGTAGTCCTCTTGAAAATATCACCAAAAGCTCCACATTTTCAAATCTGATGGCATTACAGACACAAAAGGCCATGTAACGTAGGATTCCATTTATAGGAAATGTCCAGAATAAGAAAAGCCACCAAGATAGAAAGTAAATTAGTAGTCGCCAGGGGCTGGAGGGAGGAGGAAATGGGGAATAACTGCTAATGCATACACGGTTACATGTTTATGAAAATATAGAATTCTAAAATTAAATACTGGTGATGACTGCACAACTCTTTGAGTCGACTAAAAACTAATTCACTCTACACTTTACAAGGGTGAATTTTATTTCAATAAACTACCATTAAAAATTAAATTCAAATTAAAAAAATACTGACAGAATCCCTAATGTTAATTTATACCACAATAGACATCATTCGGAGCCTTCCACCTGTTCCAATGGCTTCTTTTTTACCTTGGCAAGGCGGCTCATCTGGTCTTCTGAGAGAGTGCTGCTTGTTCTACCCGGAGTTTTGGTGGGTTCTGATCCATCTGCTTCTACGTTAGGCCAGACTTTCAAGTCATGCATCCCCTGGCGAAACATGCTAGGCAAAAAGAGAATGTTCAGGGCAGGAGTAAATGAATGTAGTGCGTTACAGAGAATTTTAGGTCCCCAAACAGAGAGACTTCCACACTAGGAAATGCATGCCTCGCTTGCCAAGCTTGAAGCCCCCAGTGGCTTGTAAAGCAATTAACTAAGCAACTAAAATCCATGTAACACTGTTTTCCACATGCCGTTCTTTTCTCCTCCAAGTAGGCAGAATTACTATAGAGATTCTAAAGGTAGACTAGAAGGAGAGAACGATCACTAATGGACCCTACATCCTTCATGTCTTCAGTGGAGATCTTAGAAATAACAGAGATCAAATCCCTACCCAATGAAAAAATGTCACATTTACAATGACTGAAACCAAAATTTGAATAATTATGTAACAGTCTACCTGAAGTGACAATTCAGCATAATAGACTACAGTTAAAATGCTGGGGATTGAATCCCAACTGTGTCATCTATTACTGACATGACCTTGAGTAAATTATTTAACTTCTCTGTGCCTCAGTTTCCTCATCTATAAAATGGGATAATAAAGAGCATCTGTATCACAGGGGCTGTTAGGAAAATGAAATAAATCAGTGCAAGTAAAATGTACCTACAAAAGCGCCTGCCAAATAATAAGTATTCAATAAATGTTAACTATTATTGTCACTTTCACTAGGTACAGGTTGATTTTTCTCCGGTCTTCTTTTCTATAACAGCAATGTCTAGAAGGGAATACAATATACATATAAAAAATAAAATTACCCATGTCTACAAATCAGAAATTAAACACATAGTCAGAATTCAATCTGAGCTTGGTGATCCTTCTTTAAAGTGAAATACCGTATGATGTTTGATCATCATGTCTCTTTCAAAAAGCTACCAAGGAGATCTAGAATAATAAAGGTTGAACAAACTCTTAAGGAGCTTTAGCCAACCATGTCTTTTTAGATAAGCTACTGTTAAGCTTCTGAGTACATTTTTTGGGTTTTTTTGTTTGTTTTTTTATGGAGAGGTTAAAAATATAGTCTTCTGTGAGTGTGTTCTCTCTTTTTAAGCAGTTTTTAACAAAACCTTTTAGACAATATAAAGTATACTCAAATAGCATCCTTCAAAGCTATAAGAATAAGCTGTTAAATGCAATGGAAAAAATAAGACTGGAAGTGTGTGCAGGTGAATGGGCAAATCCAATGTATTTTGCACATCCTCACGTTAAATATTTTAAAAGATGAATATACAAAGGTCAGTCAATTAAGTTCACAAACTTGTGGCCACAATGTTGCTAACCTTTTTTTGATATCAGAGGGATTTTTCATTATGAATTTGTACCAAATGGACAGTTAACCAAGTTTACTATTTGGAAGTGCTGAAAGGCTGCGTGAAAAAGTTAGGCGACCAGAATTTTTTGCCAACAATTCATGGCTTTTGCATCACGACAATGTACCAGCTCACAAGGCACTGTCTGTGAGAGAGTTTTTAGCCAGTAAACAAATAACTGTATTGGAACACCCTCCCTACTCACCTGATCTGGTCCCCAGTGACTTCTTTCTTTACCTGAAGATAAAGGAAATATTGGAAGGAAGACATTTTGATGCCATTGACGACATCAAGGGTAATATGAGGACAGCTCTGATGGTCATTCCAGAAAAAGAGCTCCAAAATTGCTTTGAAGGGTAGAGTAGGCTCTGGCATCCGGTGCCTAGATTCCCAAGGGGAGTGCTTCAAAGGTAACCATAGTGATATTCAGTAATGAGGCATGTAGCACTTTTTCTAGGATCAGTTCGCAAACTTAATTGTCTGACCTCATACTGATACACCGTTTTCCATCTTTAAAAACACTGCACTTAACTGTAAGTGTTTTACATGAATTTTTTTAAACCAGCGTTTCTCAACCTTCCTAATGCCGTGACCCCTTAATACAGTTCCTCATGTTGTGGTGACCCCCAACCATAAAATTGTTTTTGTTGCTACTCTATAACTGTAATTTTGCTAGTTATGAATCATAATGTAAATATCTTTTTGTTTTCCGATGGTCTTAGGCGACCCCTGTGAAAGGGTTGTTCAACCCCCAAAGGGGTCGCGACCAACAGGTTGAAAACTGCTGTTTTAAACCATTATTATCATGTTCCGGCTAGTGGAAAATTTCTTCACAGATTCTCCTAGAGTAAATAACAAAGAGGATTTTCACTGAACATCATGCAACGTACACAAGTAATGAGGCCATAAACATTTTGATTGGGAACTATACAGGATAGCTACAAGCTCAGGAGCACAATAAGATTAAAGACCATATCTGTTGTAAGGTCTCCAAGGTTGGCAATAAACAGGTAAAATATCCAGCAACCATATCTGTGAAAGCTTCCCTGATAGGCCCAATATAAGATGCACCGACTAGCTGTGAAGAAATCAAAATTCTCAACATTCACCATGTTAAAGATTTTTTTAAGTTACATTACAAAAAAGTACATACACAAGCTTTTTATAAAGTTCATTTTCTTTCCCTTTCAACTGAGATATAGATTCAACATGGAACAGACCTGCTCAGTCTCTAAGAAACTGAGCACAGTGAAGTATTTATTAACATCACTTTAAACGAATATCCTTAAATGTACCTTCAGAAACATCAGAAGGTCCTCCCTTCCTTTTCTCCAACCCCCTACACCCCAGTGAATACTTTGACTGGCTGAACTTCCATAAATCAAAAATAAATACATTTGGCAGGAAGTCAGTGTACTGAATGATTTAGGTGCCTTGGGATGGATCTGGAGATAAGATTTAAGGACGGGGACATGGAGGCTAGGGGTGACGACAAGTGACTCAAATGATCAAGTGAACATATTACTTTCTTTTGACACTAATGGAACCTTTGTAGAGAGTTCCACAGCCTCCAGGTGGCAAGCCAGAAGATGCTCAGAGCATTGTGTCCGCTTGGGAAATTAAGCCAAACAGACGAGAGGAAAGAAAGAGCCCAGCAGGCCCTCCTTCCCACGCCAGCAGAGGCCCCAGCAACAGCTGCTGCAGCTCCCAGTGCCAAGCAACTGCCCTGACTTCAGAATCCACATTTGGAAAAAACATCTGGAAGAGAAATCTGCATCTTGCCTATGGTTCTTTGCCAATTCAACCTACTGTTCAATGCATTCTTTACCTTCTTAGAAATCTCACAAGCTAGACTTTCAAAATGAGGACAATTAGTTATTCTAACCACATCCTAACAGATCAATTTTTCAATTATTAATTACACTATTCTCCAAAAAGTACTGCTTCACACTGACTCAAGTATACAAAATAGATATTAGCAAATAGCAAGAGCTTGCAGTCATAGGAGTCTTAATAGTGTAATACAGCTATTAGATGCTTTGAAGACCTCTTTTAAAAAGCAACTAAGTTCATATGAGGTCTATTAGGACACAAGGTGGGGACACCTGGTGTTACTTCATTGCTTAAGAAACATCTGACAGGGCCAGCTGAATGACACATTGGTTAGGAGTTGGCTTGGGACACCAGCTCTGAGCAGCAGGGCCCTGGTTCGGATCCCACATGAGGGCCAGTGATGCTGCGCCCTCTACAGCTAAGATGGTGAACGACAGCTGGACCTGGAGCTGGGCTGCCATGAGTTGCCGGCAACGGTGTACGCTGCAGCCCCTGCTGCAGTGGGCTGCTGTGAGCTATCGTGAACGGCTGGCAGCCGGCGTGAGCTGCCGTGAGCAGCCATCCAATGGCCGGCAAGCGATTGCCTCACCCGGGAAGAGCACAATGATAATACCAACATGGGCCAGTGAAGCAACGTCATCCTCAACTAGACTAAAGAACAAAAGGACAGCAACTTGTGTGTTCCCCTTCCCCAATTCCCCAACATTGTTCCCCTCCCTCAATTCCCCAATAAAATCTTAAAAAATATATAAAGAAGGACTTTTTTTTGTAGGTATTATATACATATTTTGTAAAGCAAATAGATTTACTATCATTTATGTTTCATTAAGGTAGTTTTTTTTTTTGGCTTCACTTTCTAATATTTAGTAACAGTTATTTTCATTGTATTTATTTGTATCATTATTCACCAATGTTAAATAATACTTCTTTTCTACATATGGAAGAATATGAAGTTTTTGCTTTAAACTAAATGGAAGTAAAAAAAGTGAGCTGGTTTAAATAAAAAATCAACTAAATAAGAGTATGTGCATTTAGTACAGAGATATGGCTGGAATTCTGAAAGTGCTAAGTCAATGACTCGTATTTGAGAAACCCTGCTCTAAGGGAGGTAACTTCACAGAATCATTGCTGCTCTCCAATGTTTCGTTTGAATCTAACATCTGACATGTTCAGGACATGGAGGCATAACATGAACTATTTTCCAACTGAGTTAAAACAGATGAGTCTCTAAAGTGTAAAGTCTTAATATAGTAAATACCAGAAAAACTAATTGAAGTTTACCTCCCACTTATTGCTACTACTACCTTTATGGGAATCTCTGGGGGTTAATACTTCTTAAAGTAGAACAAATACTCCTGATTTATGTTTCAGGCATGTTTCCAGCATGTTTTACTCAGATATACAGAGAAATACAAATAAAGTGGGTACCAGAGGACAGAGTAAAGGAAAAAATCGGAAAAGAACCACATGCAAAAGTCACATAGGTAGACTACTATGCAAGGTTAATGCAGTGTTTCTCAAAATGTGGCCCACAGGTCACCTTTCACAGAATCACTCAGGATAGGTATTAAAAATGCTGGTTCTTAGGCCCACCACAGACTTACTGAATGAGTGAGAATGCAGGAAGGTACTTCTCTAGTGAGGTCGCCAGATGATTTTTAGAAATAGATCAATTACTATTGATTTCATGTACTTTTTAAAAACTTGCCAAAAGCCGAGTTAGAGTAGAACAGTATCACAGACTGTTAATCTGAGTTTATTTGCTTTAGGCAGGTCATTTCACCACACTTCTGCGGAAATTTCAATTGTTTCACACCCATACTCCAATCAGAATATCTCCTGCAAATGCATCCTAAGGTCATCTAAAATGCTCGTGAGCGCTAAAGAGGTGTTTCTATGAGAGAACCTCCAGCTGATATTCCAGAAGGTAAACCACTGACCAAGAGGCCTGGAGGAAAAAACAAGAGGTTTTTCTGGCTGTTTCTCAAGAACGTTTAACCCCTAAGACAACAGTAAGAGTAATAAACTATTGTGTACTTTTTGCTTTGTGGCAAGCAAACCCCAACCTAGAAGAAAAAAGTAAAAAGGAACAAATATTCTGGAAAAGAAATAATATTGATTTAATAGTATGACTGCTCTACTGTAACATGCTATTTCATAAAAATTTATATTTAAAAACTGGAGGCCATAATGTCTCACACTATGTATAAACTATTGATCCTGCATAGGTTTCAATAATAAATATCTTTTCAGTAGTTACATTAAACCAAAGCACCTACACATTACTAAGCAATCAAGCTATTCTAAATGGAATTATGTCTAGATTTTATTCATGAGTTTAAGCCTTTCTGACACACCTTATTCCTGGACAGAAAAGTTCAATATTATAAAGGTGTCAATTAATTCTTTAATTAACATATATGATTCAATATAATTTCCCAACAAAATAATAATGAGCTTTTTTTAAATTGAGGAAATAATATTAAAGTTTATCTGATAAAACAGAGACTATCCAAGGCCGGCTGAGTGGCTCAGTTGGTTAAGAGCTTGCCCAAGAGCGTGAACTCTGAGCAACAGGGTGGTCAGTTCAATTCTCACATGGGCCAGTGACGCTGCGCCTGAACTGAGCTTCCGTTGAGCTGCCAACAGGTGGCAGGAGGGCTCAGCTGGTGAGAGCACGTGCTCCTAAAAACAAGGCTGCTTGTTTTAATGGTGGGCTATGCCCACCCGCAACTAAAGACTGAACTCGGCACCTTGAGCTGAGCTGCCACTCAGATGATTCAGTGGATAGAGCATGCACTCTTAACGAGGCTGCTGGTTTGACACCCACATGGGATGGTGGCTACGCCCACCCGCAACTAATTGAACACAGCATCTTGAGCTGAGCAGCGTGACTGGACTTGGAGACGTGCTTGCTGTGCCCTCCACAACTAAGATTCAAGGACAACTTGGCTGTTCCCCTTCCCCAATTCCCCAACACTGTTCCCCTCCCCCAATAAAATCTTTTAAAAAACCCAAAAAACCCAAGAGTATATAGAGAAATTGTGAAAGGAGAACTAATGAGAAAGATTATTCCTATCTAATATCAAAACATTTTATATTAGTATTGAAAACTAACAGAATTGTTCATAAATAATGATAGCTAATATCTACTGAGCATTCATTAACCTCATTACATCTTTAGTAATTTATCATCATAAACTACTCTATGAGGTCAATACTATTGTTATCTCGTGTTACAGATGAGGAAATTGAGACATAAGGAGATTAAATAACTTGTTCAAGGGTACACAGATGTGAGCCAGGGTTTGAATCCTGATAATCTAGTTCTACAACTTGCCTTCCTAATCACCATACAATATACTACGCTTTTTCTTAGATGTCAATACATGATAAATTGAATACATAATACCATTTCAAAATAATTGAAAACAATGGCTTATTTAATGAATAGCGTTGAGACAAATAACTAGCCATTTGTTGTTTAAAAAAACAAAAGCCTGACCCAATACATCACTCCTTTCACCAAAGTATTCAGTTGTCGGAAAAGTCATGATGTATTTTTTCTGTTTTTCGTTGCAAAAATGTGTCATGACTTTTTAGATAACCCAATAACTTCAGATGAATCAGATTTAATTGTGAAGTATTAAAACCATAACAAGTGGTGGCCGGGTGGTTCAGCTGGTTAGAGGGTGTGCTCTGATCAACAAGGTTGCCAGTTCCATTCCCGCATGGGATGGTGGGCTGCACCCCCCGCAACTAGATCGAAAACGGTGACTGGACTTGGAGTTGAGCTGTGCCTTCCACAACTAGACTGAAACAACTACTTGACTTGGAGTTGATGGGTCCTGGAAAAAAACACTGTTCCCCAATAAAAATAAAAAAAATTAAATACTAAGAAAACCTTTTTTTTTAAAATAGTAAATGACTTTTTTAAGAATGTTTTAAATTCACAGACCATAAAAAAATGATAAATTCAACATCATAATTTAAGATCCAACAACAGCAAGCAAACAAGCAAATAAACAAATATTATACATAAGAAATTCAAAAGAAAATATCAAACAAGAAAAACGATATTTGCAACATGTAATACACAAAGGGCTGATTTCATTCATCTACCAACCCCTTATACATTAATAAGAAAAATGACAACTCAAAAAAAAAAAAAAAGAAAATCCAGGAACTTTATGGTATGTGAATTATACCTCATTTTTTAAAAAAGGGGCAAAGGACATCAAACAGTAAATTCACAGAAATCTAAACAAAAATAATAAGTGAACATATCAAAATATGACCATTCTCATTCATATTTAATGATGTGAAAATTAATTCAGGAGATAACATTTCTCAACTTTTAAATGGGCAAAAATTAGAAAGTTTGATGGTACCTACAGTAAGGTCTCTGCATTTTGCACTGAAGCTCTGTCGTCTTTCAGAGAATCCAGCTCTGGGGCAGAAAACTACCCAATGTGCCTGGAAGAGCTTGTCTGCCAAAACGGAAAGAAGCTACTAATGACTCCTGGAGTACTAGCAAAAGGACATGGGACCAACTTGAAGGGGCTCTTACTGCTCAGTAATAGGAGTTTTTAGCATTACAAAGAATAAAGACAGCAATGGATTGAAACACTTCAAAAATGTTTAAAAGTTCATGACAAAACTTAAAGACGGGGCGAGTGGCCCCGATGGTTAAGAGCTGGCTTGGGACGCCAGAGGGACCCTGTTCGGATCCCACATATGAGGGCCAGTGACACTGCCCTCTACAGCTAAGATGCTGAACAGCAGCTCAACCTGGAGCTGGGCTGCCATGAGTCGCTGGCGACGGTGTAGGCTGCAGCCCCTGCTGCAGTGGGTTGCCATGGGCTACCGTGTGTGGCCAGCAGCCAGCGTGAGCGGCCAGCAGCCGCAGTGAGCGGCCGTCCAGAAGCCGGCGACTGATCTGCCTCGCCCGGGAAGAGCGCAATGATGGTGCCAACTTGGGCCAGTGAAGCAACGTCCTCCACAACTAGACTGAAGAACAAAAGGACAGCAACTTGTCTGTTCCCCTTCCCCCAATTCCCCAGCACTGTTCCCATCCCCCAACTCCCCAATAAAAATCTTTAAAACAAAAAACAAAAAACTTAAAGACAAAAACAAAAAAACCATCAATTATCACTTTTGCAGGTTATCAGAGCACCAGCTCATTCTTAAAACTGGTAAACGGGAAAAATACTCAAACATTCATCTGCCCTTCCTATAAACTGTATATCACGGTACGTCAATACTTGATAAAAGACCAAGTTCTTTTCTGACAATTTTTTTTTTTTAAATTTACTTAAATGTATTGGGGTGACATTGGTTAAAAACATTACATAAGTTGCAGGTGGACAATTCTGTAACACGTTATCTGTACACTGCACTGTGTGCTCACCATCCAAAGTGTGGTCTCCTTCCATCACCATATATTTGACCCCCTTTACTCTCTTCATCCTCCGCCCACCCCACTTCCCCTCTGGTAACCACAATACTATTGTCTGTGTCTAAGAGTTTGTTCATTTGCTGCTTTCTGTTTTATATCCATATATGAGTGAAATCATATGATTCTTGTCCTTTTCCATCTGAGTTATTTCACTTAGATTGGACAAAGAAGATATGGTACATTTACACGATGGAATACTACTCAGCCATAAAAAATAAAGAAATATTGCCGTCTGCAACAACATGCAAGACGAAGTTCTTTAGAGAAAAAGGGGATTGACAAAAAATACTCTTCAGGACTATGGGTTTTGTTTTTTTTCACAATAAATTATTATCTGTAAATTTTTAAAAATTGAATTAACAACTTTTCTATTATAATCATTACCACTATTACCAAATTAGTGCTTTTTAACCCTACTTATTGTCCTTTTTATCATTATGACAAAGTAGAAAAACCCCGTAGCAACGCAGTTACAGTATATGCCAAATATTTTTTTCCTAAAAGCAAGATTCTAATTTCCAATGGCTATTTTTTAATAGGAATCACATTACCAATCACTATTAGTAGAGTAATATAAATTGTTTCTTAATTAACCTATTTGTACATCCCACAAGAAATATTTGTCAAATTCAGTCTCAACAATGATGGAAAATATGTACTAAACATGTACAAATACAGAACCAGACTGGACATAAACTATTAAAGCCTCCCAAAAAGAAAAGGACCAGAAAACTACAACATTCCTAGATTAGGAAAACAGAATGCTTACCCGTATTTTCCAAAGAGAGAAACTGTTGTTCCACCCACAGGCACTGCCTTTCCCGGTCCATACACATCCCATATAGTCAGGGCCACTTGGGCATTCCTGGGCAGGTCAGGGTACTTCACAGGCAGTTTTAGCCACTCATTCCAGCTATGGAAATAGAGTTGACATAAACATAAAGCTAAGGAAATAAAGTCAACATAAGTGTGTGTGTGTGTGTGTGTGTATGTGTGTGCGCATCTGTGTGTGTATAACTTTTTCTTTTTTTTTTTTTAATTAACAAACCATATAAGGAGGTTTAGCCAGAGAAAATATCCCAAAAGATTTAGTAGTACAAAAAAATAATATGGCAGTTACTTCAATTTTGCTCTAAGAAACTGCAATTTTACATACAGAAGACGTGAAAAAAAAAGTTTGAAAAACAAAGCATGGGGGGGCCCGGTTAACTCAGCTGGTTAGGGTGTGGTGGTGTTCATGGCACCAACGTTGCCGGTTCGATCCCCACATGGGCCAAGGAGCTACACTCTCCACAGCTAGATTGAAATAACTACTTGAGGCCGGCCAAGTGGCTCAGTTGGTTAAGAGCTCGCTCAAGAGTGTGAGCTCTGAGCAACAGGGTTGCCGGTTTGATTCCCAGCCCGAGCTGAGCTGCTGCTGAGCTGCCAACAGGTGACAGGATGGCTCAGCTAAAAAAAAAAAAAAGAAGAAAGAAATAACTACTTGACTTGGAGCTAATGAGCCCTGGAAAAACACATTGTTCCCCAATAAAATAAAATTTAAAAAAAACAAAAAACCCACAAAAAATAACAATTGTTACTCCTTTAATCAAGAAACTCAAGACAATAATATCTGGGAAAAGACTTAAACCTGTTAGAGCCAAACTTGTTTTGAACCAAACTGTGATTTTCTATAAGTATTCTCCAGAACACAGTTCACAGTTTTATATTATAAGGGAAAAAAAAAGAAAATCAGAATTACTCATATTACATTTAAAATGCTGCTGAGGACAATATGGTCCTATAACATATAGCAGTGCCTAAACAAATTAGAAAATTACCAAAACCTTAAATGGTTAAAGTGGACTACCCACTACCATTGTAACATGAAGTTGTTACCTGACAGCGTTGGACAGATGTTGACAATTTTTGATGTGAGATTTTTCTGTTCCTCAAGTTATTTCATTAGCTATTAGTTGTTTCATGCTTTCAAAGCATGTTTGTATAAATGATTTCCCTAAGGAATATTTGTTCTTAATAATATAGTAATGACAACACAGCTCTTTTGTTTTCCTCTTTACTCATCTCTACTAATTTTCTTCTGTAGTCAATCTTCATATTGGACTTATTTGACAATTTCAACTCCCTTCAACAACAGATGGCTTTTAAAATCCCAAAAGAAAACTGTGCGAACAATACAAAATAATACCCAGCAGACACAGAGAATTGTTTCTTTCTCTTTACTCATAATTATTCTGTATACTCAAAACTATTCTCAGAGGCATATACTAGTCTAGGTAAAAGAAATCTGCACCGGTAAGAAACTGAACAGCTTTGAAAAACTTACAAAGCAAATTGTTTATATCCACCATATAAATTTAAGGACCTACAGAAAATTAGAGATGACTATCAATTTAAAGGAGAATCAAAACCATTAAATCCTTTTCTTCTATAAAGTTCTTAAGAAAATAAATCACATGCCTAAAATAGTCATTCTATACTACAGATAAGCTTGAGGAACGAAATGAATTTATTTAATTACTATCCACATGGTAGGCCAGGATGAAAGGGTAAACACTAAGCAGTGTCATCTTCTGCCAATGAACAAACCACAGAGGTTAATTAACCCGGGCTAAAACTAAATAGAAAAGTCAGTGACAACATCCAAAATGAACTCAGAAAATGCTCACCTCTATATTCTATCCTTTAACTAGGAGACAATGCATATGAATATGACCAAGCAATCACTTGTCTCAAGCCTTTGGCCATCTAACTCCAAGACTCCACACTTTTTCAAATCAAAGTAACTGTACTTTAACCTGTTTTACATACTAGGCTTCTGCACAAGAGTTCTTTTGAAGAAAAAACATTTGCAGTTCAAAAAATAGCTTGACCAAAATCTAGATATTTCAGAAATTATGGAAAGATCTAGTCAGACATCAAAAAGCTGTGTATTTTAAACACCATTTTGTTCTCTCCCTCCCAAGGCCCCAACCCTCATTAATTAAGCTCAAGATGAAATTCACCTAGCAACTTTCAAAACATCGCAAGATCGTAAAGCATGATTCCGGATGGTCCAATCCCCATGTATCCCCACTCTCACACACCATTGTACTAACTCTCTAGTCTGATTAATGCATTCCTAAATCCTAACTTTCTAATTTTTAAATTATATTAGACTGTTAATATCTCTCTCTCTCTCTCTCTCTCTCTCTCACTCTCGCTCTCTCTCTAAAGCCATTTTAAATCACTTATGGAACAAAACAGAATATAAATTAAAAAAAAATTAAATCACTTGTCAGAGTAATATTCATATAAAAACTTGGACATTTGTAGTATCCCACACCTAAAAATACGAATCTTACCTAAAAAAAAAAAAAGTATAGTTTCCCTTACTATGGACTCTATTATTACAAGACAGGATACACTACAACTTGACAGAATAGACTTGGATAAATCTTGAATGAATTCCTCATTATTCAAACTCTCAGAACTTACTATCGGAAACTCAGAAGTCAGATTTAGACAATTTGGAATCTTGTACTACTCAAAAATACTATCTGAACTAAGGAAATGGAGAAATTTGAATAGCAAGAGATCTTTTTATGGTATAATTTACTTTTCCCACAGTTTATAGAATATTTCTCTTAAGTCCTTATAGAAAATGATTGCTGTGTAAAGTTTGCCCTTGTTGATTTTAGGAAGGCAGCATTTGTTTTCCCAAATTGGTAAAACCTTTAACTCTTAAATACTAAAGAGTAGAATGTACAAAATCTGCAAATGTCTTCCCCTAAGCCCAAAGAGAAAGAGTCTATCCTCATGTTACCTTATCCAACATGAAGCATCTTCTCAACTTATTCTCTACACAGCTGTTTTAAACATTTTAATTTTTTATAAAACCATTATTAAATTATTTTAAAGTACTTAAGTAGTTTGACAATTTAGAAAAAATTCAAACTTTTAGAAAGCCAAATATGAGTTTTTATATCCTTGAAAATACATAAATAATGCAGAGAAGGGTAGGCAAATGGGAGAAGGAGAGTTTAATTTTAATCTCCCTGAAACTGGGAATTTGGTTTTTCTCTAATTTTCCTTATTGCCATGGCATGGAACAAAACCACTAGTGGAATTCATAAATGTTGACTTTCTAGAACTTAATCTGTGGCTCTAATATTTGGGAGAGGTGGGGGGGGGGCGGTGTCACAATATACCTCAAAACATCTAATGAAAGTTTTGAGCTCTGTCCCTGTAAAAATGCACAAGACACAAAATTCTGCATACAATTTCAGGGCTTTGTAGATATCCTGATTGCAGCTTAAGAACCTTGGAAATATTGAAAGAATTCTGGTTCATTGTTTTAGGTATAATGATGTTTTAGGTATATACTGTAATTATGTTTTAAAAAAGAGATATACAGAAATACTTACAATTAGGATAATATAATATTTGGAAGTTGCTTCAAAATGACAAGTGGGTACACGTAAAACAAGACTGTCCTTGAGTTAGTAATTATAGCAGCTAGGTGATGAGGCCTTGGAAGTTCATTATATTATTCTCTCTACTTTTACAGTTTTGTATTTCCAGAATAACAAGTATTCATGAAAAAAAAAAAGAAAGAAAGAAAAAAAATATATATATATATGGGTGTGTATATATCCATTTATACACACACACACAAAAAAGCTACGGACAAAACCACACCATTAAAGTAGTTGGGTTTTGATGTAGCCAGACCACCAGAGCTCAGGCTTTTACTCTCTCTGGAAAACCCTTCCCAGCCTGCTGGGCCACACTTTGTAAACACAGGGTTGAGGCCTCCACAGCATAGCCTGGCAGTGTATGTGGGCACACACCATGTCTTCCATGAACGCTGTGGGCATAAGTTCCTTCCTTGAGAGGCACACAACCTGTGTATCCTGCAGTGAGCCTACCAGAGCAGTGAATAAGACTCAAGGACCCGGCAGTAAAACAGCACCATATAATCTATCAAATAAGAAGTATCATGAGGTTCAATTAAGAACCCATCATGCTGTTCTGGAAAAACAAGAACTTCATGTTCATTATAGTCCCCTTGCATCCTGACAATGGGTGCTAATGTACCATGCTCAATAAACCATGAACTTAAAAAAAAAAAGCTAATTTCATATTAAAAACAATAATAAAAATATGATCTGAATAGATGACAACATATCTCTTTCTCAAGATCTGAGCTCCAAACATCTGGTTGGACAACATTTCAGACTATCAAGAAGTGTTTATGTGTTCAAAGACATAGAATAACAGAGAATTTAAAAATACTACATATGTGTTTTTGGTTTGGGTCATTTTATGAATCAGTGAAGTTTTATTAAAATATGTCAAAATACAAATATGTCAATAAATACAAACATAAATTCATTTCCACCTTAATTGCAGTTATAATACCTCTATGTATAATACTTTAACCTGAGTAGGTAACTGCTTTAAACTATTCAATCAATACTTATAGGTATTAAATAAAGAAATCTTTAAAAATTCCTGTGTAATCACTACCACATCTTACTTACGACATCTGTAAAATAATGGGAGAATGGTCTGGAACCCACCATATGCAAGAAGACAACTTACTTCCATCTGGTACTAAATGCCTTATAGGATGTTCTCACTGGCAAGGCCAAAGGCTTCCCTTCTGCAAAAACTTGACAAGTAACATAAAGGTCAGAGCATGTGTCTTGGTACAATCCTGAAAACTTCAGCATCGGATCTTCTAGAACAGCTTTATAACTCTTTTGTTCTCTCTTCCCTTCCAAACTTCCTCTGGAAGCATAAGAACAATAATGTTTAGATATACATTTTTAAAGCATATGTACAACAAAATCTAAGAAAAGTTTATGTTTCTGTCACAGTAATCTTATTCTACCTGAACATTTTCCTGTATATGAAATTAAAGTCACTTTGACATCAAATAAAAGTCTCTTAAAATCCTAACATACCTAAAATCATTCCTATCTTCATCAACATATTTTTCTGTTAGGCTTCTTAATTTTAAACCTTGTCATCAACTCTTGGTCTACCTTCTAGACGTCATCAGCTTTCCAGGCCTTAGTTTCATTTTCATTCATTTCAAGCTAAGTACTTATTCATCTATTCTTTCAACACTTATTGTACTAACCACAGAAGTCCAGAATGAAACACAAGATAAAAAATACAGCATTACAAGAAAATATCAAGTCCTTGCATTTCAGGAGAAAAGTTACTTTTTTTTTTTTTTTTAAATTGGGGAATTGGGGGATGGGAATAGCGTTGGGGAATTGGCTGAAGGGGAACAGACAAGTTGCTGTCCTTTAGTTCTTTAGTCTAGTTGTGGAGGATGTTGCTTCACTAGCCCAAGTTGGCACCATCGTTGCGCTCTTCCAGGGCGAGGCAGATCAATCGCCGGCTTCTGGACGGCCGCTCACGCTGGCTGCTGGCTACACACAGTAGCCCATGGCAACCGACTGCAAGCAGGGGCTGCAGCCCGCCATCGCTGTCACCTGCAACTCATGGCAGCCCAGCTCCAGGTTGAGCTGTTGTT